AAAAAAAAAAAAGTTAGCAAAGAGACTCCTTATAGTTACGCTGTGATACGCTGTATGCAATAACTTAACCAATCAGAATCATCTCTGTGTCGCAACTCTTGTTACAGGAACTCGTAGCGGCACCACTTACCTGAGACCCGCCGAAGTTCTCGATCGTCAGCTGCGAGTCGTCGGTGATGCTGTTCCGCCTGGATCGCCGGCCGGCGTATGAGCTCCGTCGTTGCTCTTCCCAGTTGCTCGGCCGACCAGCGGCTTCAGCTCTGGCTACGGACTTCTCGTCGGCCACGGAGCTCAGGGTGGGGATGCCCTTGCCGCGATGCACCACGAAGCTCTCCTCGCTGCCTGCGCGCCTGCGACGCGAACGGGAATGAGTCGATTGGAATCGATGATTTGTTCGCGGATTTTCGAGAGATCTGATCGCTCGCAACGTACCTGTCGTCGTACGGGTGACTCTCGGCGGTTTGCTGCAAGGACTGCGACTTCTTCACGGTGGCGCTCGAGGCCGACTTGGCAACTGGAAGAAGTGATTTCACGATGAATAAAACTCCCGCGCTTGATCTCTCATCAAGTCCGCTCGTCGCTCAAACTATATATATATATATAGTTTGAGCGACGAGCGGACTTGATGAGAGATCAAGCGCGGGAGTTTTATTCATCGTGAAATCACTTCTTCCAGTTGCCAAGTCGGCCTCGAGCGCCACCGTGAAGAAGTCGCAGTCCTTGCAGCAAACCGCCGAGAGTCACCCGTACGACGACAGGTACGTTGCGAGCGATCAGATCTCTCGAAAATCCGCGAACAAATCATCGATTCCAATCGACTCATTCCCGTTCGCGTCGCAGGCGCGCAGGCAGCGAGGAGAGCTTCGTGGTGCATCGCGGCAAGGGCATCCCCACCCTGAGCTCCGTGGCCGACGAGAAGTCCGTAGCCAGAGCTGAAGCCGCTGGTCGGCCGAGCAACTGGGAAGAGCAACGACGGAGCTCATACGCCGGCCGGCGATCCAGGCGGAACAGCATCACCGACGACTCGCAGCTGACGATCGAGAACTTCGGCGGGTCTCAGGTAAGTGGTGCCGCTACGAGTTCCTGTAACAAGAGTTGCGACACAGAGATGATTCTGATTGGTTAAGTTATTGCATACAGCGTATCACAGCGTAACTATAAGGAGTCTCTTTGCTAACTTTTTTTTTTTT